GACCCAATGTCTATTCACAACTAGTGTTGATTATTAAAAACTGCAAAACACGACTTTAAACAATAATCTTACAACTGAACGTCGCTATTTTTTCCCATATAGGGAAATTATTTTGTTAAAGTCATTATTCGCCTTTTCTATTTTGTGCAGTTCCGTTTTCCATTTGGAACTGTTGAGTAAATTTTTGGGTCCACTATTCTTCACAAACGGATTTCTTATAATTTTATCAACTTACACATAATACATTTTTACAATCATACATTTGTAATACTGTGAAATTTTATACATCAACATTCGTTTTCCTTCGACCTTGTTTGAATAAATAAATTCCGCTAATTTATTGTAAACTATTTATCCTAACTTTATGCTCTATATGATCTTTCTTTATCCCAGAACTAGAACTCAGCGTCGCTTACACTGTGCTGTACGTTTAAATGAATTATTACGCACTCACTCAAGTGAATCAGACTTAGTCATTGTGAATATGCCTGGACCATCACGTACTTTAGGGAGTGAATATTATTATATGGATTATATTGAAACATTGACAGATGGCTTATCACGTATATTATTGGTACGTGGAACAGGACGTGAAGTAATCACTGCATTTTCTGAATAAATAATAATACTGAATTTTCTGTGTGTATGTATGCTGATTATCCTCATGTTAATGATATAAAGTACATTTTCATGAAACAAAAAACATAATCTAGTTGTAAAACGTGTCAAGTCTTTATTTTGCTCACAATTAAATCATTCTGTTTATTCTCACTAATTTTATCTTTAAAATTCATAAACTGCTGTTCCTTTTAAATGTCATAGTTTGTTACATTGTTCAGTGTTTATTTTGATTAGCTCTATTACTCAGTTTAATTTTAGTTACATAAATAATTATTCATCTTAAATTTTCTAATCATTCTTCTCCTGTATTCAAATAGATATTGTAATTGTATTCTCATGAGATGTTTACGTTTTCATGCTGAATCTAATCACACTTTCATACTGCTGAAACTTATTATTGTTCATAATTCAAGTGTAATACTAATAAAGTGGAAACTTAAAGATTAATCCTTGTTACCTTTCATCCTAAATAATAGTAATAATAGTAACAACTAATTCAACGTTACTTCTAATTCTCCGTTTGACCTGTTTATCTTTGTGAACCGTTTCATTGTGCTTAGATTCTACAATAGATGAAGTTGAAACAGCAAACTGTTTCTTTTGTGTTCTATCATTTTCTTTAAATAATCTGTTCGGTTCCCATCTTTCATTTTGCATACCCGCCCTCTTGAAAACATCAACTAATCGTTACGGAATTGGTTTAATAGCTATTTTGCAAGAGAAATCACATGTTGCGAGATTGAAGGTGGCAGCTGTGTTTCCTTAAATTTATTTTTCATGGCTTATCTTTCATCTTTCCTCGATCGCGCCTTTTCTTCCTCTTTTGATCTATTTATTCAATTTGTTACAAAAATTATTCAACATCTGTAGATCCATTGTATTATCATGTAACAAATAAAAAACAATTAACGTGTATCGTAATTACAACCTATGGTGAGGACAGAACTCTTCACATCTAATACCAATGATTATTGATAATTCTACCTCACATTTCTTCTATTTTAGTCGTGCACAGTTTCAATCAGTTAAACATAAACTACAATCCTCTTAACATCACTTGAATTTTGTCGTCTTCTGTAATAATATTCTTCATAATGAACGTTTGTATTATTTCGTAACAGTACAATATGCATAGAATTTAGTACTATATATATATATATATATATATATATATATATATATATATATATATATATGTTCGCTTGTTTAGTTCACTAATATAAACCTGTAGGATATTTGAAGAGTTAACAATTTAGTAAATTGCTATCCTTAACTTTATAATTAAGAATATATGTATGTGTGTATACATAATCTCATATCTTATTTTCCTTCTACTACTTCTGTCATTTATTCACACATACGTGAAATCAGTGTACTCTTTTGTCAGTAAAGTAAATTCATTTTGTTTTATTACAATATGGTTTTTATCCTTTTTATTGTATTCATTTTTCTGCTATTCATAGTTTCAATGTATTACTCAGTTTCTTAACACGATAAATTGTTATTCAAATTTTGAAGTGTACGCTCTTCATGTGGCGCACACACTAAATATAAATATTTACCAATTAACAATGAACTTTAAACAGAGTACAATTTTTTTTAAAAAATTAGCACAAAAATATAATCAAGCATAGTTATTTAAAGTTTAGCAAATTCCTTGTGGTATCTCATAATCGTTAGAAAGTTTTCTACTATATGCAAATTAATGTTCTAAATTATTGAGAAAATTACTTGTTTTATTTTGTCTTTTTCTATTTGTCTGTCAATAATTTCCTACATTGATTACTGTCACGCAATGACAGGTATCTTTCGAATTTCAACTCAATCGGTAGTGTAATGTTAGTGAACATCAGTTGCTCATGCTTTTGAATATGCGAAATTCTCGATTGATAAAATATCATTGAATGAGTACTCATTTTTAACGCAAAATTTTATGAATGCATTCATTCCTATCATACCAACTATAAACATTCATTAAACACTGAATAAGATATGTTGTTAAAGCTGGTGAACAATTCAGCTGAAGTGATTGCTAGGTACACTAACTCGCAGTGTAGATTTGACTTAACACGATTTATTTGCTGTTCTAATCAAAGAACTCTACAGGTGTTTAGTAGATGCTGCTGTCAATGATAACCACCATTCTGATTAAATGTTTGTCTAGTGAAATATTTGCTGTATGCTTGCAGATGAACAAATGTTAGGAATGAGAACCTAATTGTTACATGAGATTTTGTCAGTCAAATCTTTTCGTTTTGAAAAATTTAGATATAACTATGCTTAAATTCACACAAGCTTCATTCCACAACCGTAAGGATAATCGATTTACATTAGATAAGTAGTAAGAATACTGTTAGACAAAATTTCCCAAATACCCTAATCAAAACTAATCTCTATCACATGTCAAACACAAATTTCCCTCTATTACTAGTCTGAAAACTTGCTAAACTTAGAAGCTAGAGTGAATGTTAATGTTAACAAGTGTTTTGCTGGGTACGGTTATAAACTAACAAGCATTTATCCACGATTCTCAGTGAATTCCTTATCTTTCGAAACTCGTCATTTAACTGTTTATTTAAATCAAAACTTACGAGTCGTCCAAGACAAGAGTACCATTTTGATAAATGGAAAATTACATGAGTACTTTTTCCTCGAAATTAAATTGGGATCTGAACAGCCTCTAGATAGAGTACATTGTACATATGAACCTAGCTCAAACAGCACAACAAATACTTTCAGCATAGAGACATTACTGAGTGAAAGACATTCTCATGAAAGCACAGTAGTTTAATAACCTTTTAGTTCAGATGATTAACTAAATAATCCTGGGACCAGTACTGTAAGTCAGTATGCAGACAGGGATAAGGGATACCTGCAATAAAATCGAATCTCACGCACGACGAATTTATGAAGCACCACATATCTGTCCATCACATGGTTATCTACGCATGGGAAAAACCAATTGGATAGCTAAACTGAATTACACGCCATCTGCTTCACACTTAAATACATACAGAGAGTGAAGTAATCAGAAAATGGCAATTAGGCATTCAGTCAGTCAATAACGTAAAATATCGTACGTACGTACATCAGTTCGAGTTGCCACACCACACTAGCACAGATACAATTGCCGACTCAAATCCCAGTGGTAGAAGTAGTAAGAGTATAAGCAGTAATCGGAAAGATCAGGGTTTGAAGATGTTATTCAAGGAGTATAATCCAGTGAAATAAATTTGGAAAGAGAAAAAAGAGACAAGGCGGAATCAGGAGATTAAAATTTGGGAGAACACAAAGAGTGGATGAACCTGCGCAATCGCAAACGATCTTGAGCCATGTCATTCAAGGTCCCCAACCATCGGTTCCTACTGTCTCACAGATCTCAACCAGGTAGCCTAAATCTACCAGCATAGCTCAGTTCACTTGTCAGTGACTTCATGGATTCGCGCCATGTTTTGGTCTGGCCGCCTCTAGCTTTCTTCCAACCTATTCCTACACCATGAAACATCGCACGTCGGTAGTTGAGCATACGTAACACGTGCCCCAGCCATCTCAACTGATGAGATTTCACCACTTCATCAACCGATTTGCCATCCTTACCTAGTACCCGTTTTCTAACAACTGAGTTACTTACTCGATGGTCCCAGGATATACGAGCAATGCTTCGAAGACACCTATGATCGAATACTAGTAACCTAAGAATATCCTCTACTCTTACAGGCCATGTTTCACAGCCATAAAGTAGGACAGAATGAACTTTATGGCAGGCTCATCACTGAATATTCTAACACTATACCATCTGATTAAAGAACAGTTAAACTTAACTAGAAGTTTTGTACTTGCCCATCCATTGAATACGACACATCAGGTGGACTTGAACGCCTTCCGAATTATCCAACAGATTCCACTAATTTGGCCGTATGGGTTGTGTATACTTGAGGTCCCTTTTCTCAACTGACGTATGAAGTTGTCAAATATTTGTCAGTTCTCTTACTGGATATTACGTAATGTCTATATATATATAGGCACAATGAAGAACTAACTGCAAGAGATATTTCGTTCCTTTAATCCTAAGTAAGTCTTGACTCCCCAATTGTTCTTTGATAAATCACCTTTTCTAATTTGATTAAAAGAACGATAACTATTTGTTTTGAAAGTCACTTTTTTCAAAAGATGGAAAATTGCAACAGAATACGCGCAAATAAAGTGAAATCATATCAATCTAATTGTGTAAAATTGATTATACAAAGAGTATATGCTCATTTTGCATATTTTGGGATGTAAAGTTACCAATTTTTGAAGTTCTGAAATAAATGTACACGAATGGAGGGATACGCAACAGGATAATATTCTTCACAATAAATGAGGCATCTGTATAAAATCCAACAGGTGCATCAGCTAAGGCTGAAAAGAAACAAACGTTAACAAAAACAATAATATAAATATACACTAATGCACACAAATAAACGAAATGCTAATACGTAAAATCGACCACTATTTCTGCATGTGCATAATTACAATACAGGATCTGGATAAGCGCATTGAGTATTTTTTTCCTGTTCAGTTACATGTTTAATTTATTCGATAAAGTCTCCAACCATTGGTTATGATAGTCACATGGACCACAACCAAGTAATCTGCATCTACCAACATGGCTAAGACTAGAAGTTAGTGACTTCAAGCACTGATGCCACGTTTTGGTTTGGCCGCACCTAACTTTCTTCCAACCATCTCCAACACCAGTCAGCATTGCGCGTCGTGGTAATCGGTGTTCAGACATATGCAACACGTGGCCCAACCATATCAGTCAATGAAGATTTACAACCTCACCAACTGATTTGCCATCATTCCCTAATACCCTGGGTCTAACCTCACGATTACTTACCTGGTGGTCCCTGCAGATGCGAGCAATATTTCTAAGGCATCTGTGGTCAAATTCTAGTACCTGACGAGTATCTTCTAATCTTAATGGCCACGTTTTGCAGCCGTAGAGTAAAACAGAACGAACTGCACTCAAGACTGATAAAGACTATACAATACATCAAAATGATGCGAAAAAAAAGTGTAAGAAATTAACTGGTGCTAATCAAAAATAGACCATAATTTACAAATTTATTTTACTAATTAATAGTGAATTAATATAAGGAAAACATAACGTAGAAGCTTTATGACGCAATCACCTTTTCTAATTCAAACAAAAAGCAATGTTAGTGTTAACTGGATACACTTTAGGAATAATCTACATCACTTACCTAAAGCATGTCTAAATAATTAACTTTTAAGTAAACTATTCGTGTAGAGGTTAATGATAATACCATTTTCAGTTAAAATAAGACGTATCCCAAATTTGAGTTTAACGAGATAAAACACAAGCTTCGTTTACACTATTGACCTTAATGTAGACTGTGACAGAAAAGTAGTAGAAGTCATATAACTATAGGTATCCTTTGTACTGTATTCGACTTCCCCTATTATACCGAAAACTCTTCTTTACTTGAAAACAGTTTACCCCACAAAACAACCGAATTTCAAACTAAATAAACGTTATCATAGTCCACAATATCCATGTTAGCTATACGCATGTGCATGATTCAAACAGTAACCTTCTAATGTTCATTAAACAAAGAAGACAATTATGATCACTAAAGAAAACGTTAATCTGTGTTTAGGCGCAAATGTCTAAAACTCGAGACTGAGAACCAACAAGATGATGAGATACTGCAAGATATGGGGTAATGACATACAAAAGTAGATTTTCAAACAATCAAAAGGATCAATACACAACATCGGTGGGTAATAAAATACCCAATGTATTTCACCATCATGACCAGTAAATATTTCACAGTGATACTCATTTGACCGCTAAATTATAACATCACAAGAGACTTAATTGTGACTAAAAGTTCTCAACAGTATTGTTTCAGAAATTTTACATTTCTAACAAATAGCTCTTTCGTATAGTGATTGATAAAAAATTTGTAAAAGATTATTCACCTTTCGACCAAGGCATCGTGCATTGAATCCGCGACAAGGACGTTCATTTCACCATCTAATTTAAATATGGACTCAATCACCTGTGAAAACATGGGCAGAGAATAAGAGTAAGTCATAATTCATATGTGTTGACAAAATAATATAAATCACAAGTATTCATTGACTGCAAATAAGTAGCTTTTAAGTTAGCTGCAACACAATGAATATCACATTGTTAACGTAAAAAGTTTTAGAAGTTAAAATGGATAAACATACCTGAATTTCTGTGCTTGTCGTTTTCTGACCACAAAATCCTGCCCAATCGTTGACCACAAGTCCAGCTGCAATAAGTGCACTTCCTTGGTTTACGGTCCCAGCAGTTAGTGGAAGATGAAGAAGACTACTCAACTGATCTAATTCGTCAACTGTAACTTTAGGATGAACAAGTCCACCTTGGTTTGTTAGCACGCAATATGTTCCGACGAGAAGATGATTTGCAATGACTTCACAAAAAACTTCAACATTCAACACGTCGCTGACCAATTCCACAGTCTCCTAATTATTATAGGAATTAATGTTAATTCATGTACAGAATATTATAGACAATAAATTGATGATTAAAAGAAAAAATGGCAGCTAATAATAATTCGTCCATCTGCTAACCATTGACTTGACTAAAATATTAATTGCTGTTAACTTACTGGTAAGTTTTACATAGATTTTCAATAAATCAAGCGATAGCAAACCATTGCTTTTATATCTGTACTTGAAAATATAAAAACCGATTTATCATCTAGCTTCGCAATGTTACAGAACACATTGGAAAAATTAAGTGTTTCTATTGAGCATTTATTACGAGATTGCTTACTACTTTTCCTGACCCCAAATTCCGCTGGACGTAAAATTAAGATCTTATATTGCTTCATATGGTAAACTCCTATTCATCAAACAAGTAAAAAGCAGTTATTTCGCATCAGTTGTCAAAAAATAACCAATTCATATGAAGACTGAACTTTACTTGAAGGTTAACTACGATAGTTCGCTTAAGGATTTAGTCAAGAAGACAAAGACAGTCATTGGAAACTGCATGACCATTTTGACTACTGTAGTGCTTATTCATGATTTTAAATCATATCGACAACAGAGCATTTAGGTTATGCAGTAACATGGTACTGTACGACCACTAAATTTTAGTAATAAACTGTGACCTATTGAGTTAACAAGGTTAGGGAAAATAGTAATCCATCGATGAAACTGGGTGAGTAGTCATATATGAAGAATGGATTGAAACTGAGAAGGTAAATAGCTAGACTTGAACGCAGTGACCTGTGGGGAACGTATCCGCTGCTGGTCTCGATAATGTAATGGATTCGTGGTTAAATATTGCTAAAAAGTATGCTTACACCTCCCTGACTCTCACTAGTTACCCAAAGATCCGTATTTTGAGAAAAGTTAACCTGAAATCATTTCTGCATAAAGTAGTAAATAACTGAGACGCGTTTATTGGAAATAGTTGCAATGGTCATTGGTTTCATCACTAAACTATCAACTTGTAGTTTGACAGCTCGGACCCCGCTTAACGAAGATGTATTCTTAACCCGTATACTAATGTAGCCAAATTTTCGAGTAAAATTATTATGAATAAACTAATTGACAGTTCAAACGGTCGTCTGATTAGATAAAACACTATTATTTGGTTGGAGAGTGCAAGTTTTGTTTTAGTTGACACCAATTACCAAGACATCTAGTCTTAATGCAATTAATGCTTCCCATGAGATTTAAACCCACAATCGTTTTGCACCCAAAGAGATCATCAATGAGCTATTCAGGTAGTGACTAATCTACTGAAATATTTTAACATCAAGTCCCGCGTGATGCCACATTATATAGACTCAAATGGCCATCGATTAAGTTGAAACATGGCAAATGACCACTAATGGATCGACAAAAAAGATGGAGTATATTTGACGTTAAGTGTTGGAGGGACCCGATAGAAAACACTGGGCTTGTTTTGTGCTAGTTCGCACAAATGAGCATGGTGTAGTTTTAACTATAGAGGTACTCTAAATTAGAACCTGCTACACTAAGACATTTCATTGCCCCCAAATGCCCTGGTATGGCGAGGTGGGTTCGCCCTTCCTATCGAAATGCTCTCACATGGCCACGCGTATATAGCCTCTGCCAGGGAAGCCCTACTCACTGCCTTCTCGTGGCGGGGGTGTTGTTTACGAAAATGAGAGGACGAAAAGCGAATGTCCGGCGCTTTAACCGGATTCCAAATCAATGGTGCATATGGGCTCCAGTATCCTGCGGGAACAAATGGCGTATGAACCAATTGTTGGTCACCGGTTACCATGGGACTCCATCTCCTCATGATGCTCCACTGCCTTGTGGGTTAGACCTTTAGGTCAAAGGCTCGGGATGTGGCCCCCTGCTTCGGTTTGGGGACCCGGGCAGTATCACAGCCCATACACAATTAATGAACTGAACTGTCTATGATCATGGAAACTAATTCTCTTGCTTCGACGAACATTCAAATGATTCAATTATTATTATTGCTATTATTATTATTATTTGTTATTATTATTATTATTATTATTATTATTATTATTATTATTATTATTATTATTATTATTATTTACCACGCCATTATTCACCCTCTTTTATTCCTACTCTGTCTATACTTATTTTTCTCGACTTATACAGCAGCTCGTCTATGGTGGAAATTCGACTTTATCTAAACGTTCTCGAGTCACTGTCCGGTTGAAAATTGTATGTTACCACTGAATATGAGTACTGAAGCAGTTTTTCTGAAACCACGTGCACCATTCAAACTGGCTGCCTTCAACGTTCGCACACTTATGCAGGTCGGACAACCGATAGGGCTGGCTATTTCTTTGGAAAGTCTTAATATTGATGTTTGCTGTCTATCCGAGACCCGTAATCAAAACTCTGCTGAAGTACTACAAATTCGCTCTCCATCTGTCGCTTCGATAAGCTTGTTCCACGTGCGCTTATCCGGGGACCCTGTGGCATCTTCGTCTAGTCTTGCAGGCGTTGGTGTCGCACTAAGCGCTAGAGCTGAGGCAGCACTAATCGATTGGATCCCCATTAACAGTCGGTTATGTGCTGTTAGATTAGAGAGTTCCATCAAAGTGAGAAATCGGCATGAGAAACGATGTCTTTTCGTCATCTCCGCCTATGCCCCGACAGATTGCAGCCCGGATGCAATCAAGGATGAGTTTTGCCACCAGTTATCTGTTCTTCTCCAGAAAGTGCGTTCGACAGATATTGTAGTACTAGCCGGAGACTTGGATGCTCAGGTCGGGCGTCTAGGCACAGAAGAGAGTCGTTTAGGTGGCCGATGGGGACTCGTTGGTCGCAGGTCACATAACGGGGACCGTCTACTGCAACTGTGCACAGACCACAACCTGTTTCTGGTTAGCAATAACCTTCGGTACAGTCATCGCCGATGTGCCACCTGGCGTCCTCTCTCTGCATCCCAAGCCTGGACTCAGATTGATCACATCGCGATCAGCTACCGCTGGCGTGGTTGTGTAAAAGACTGCCGCTGTTTTTGGAGTACCTATCTGGACTCTGACCATGCCTTGGTCTGCGCCAATCTTGCCTTACTTTTCAGTGGCCAACGAAGTGATCACCACCAAAAGAT